AAACATGGATTCAAAGCTCCAGTAAGCCAGCAGGTAAATAATCATATAGAACAGTTAGCAGACAGTTTGTCAGTTTAATTCTTGTAAGTATATTTCCCATTATAATCACTTTTCTTAGTTGAGACTAACACATATCATAGGCTCTAAATGAGTTGTATGTTAGCATAGTATATACAGTAGATTTATGCTGTATGCTAATATGAAATTAAATGTCTATTACTTATCACTCCATTGAAGATGAGGCAGAGGCAGGTTTAGAGAGTGAGGGAGAGCCCATTGAGCATCAGCCAAATCAGACACTTACAGGTAAGTGTTGTTAAACTGGCTGACAGTAAAGGTTTCTGAATAGTTTGATAACAAGAAAGATAGACATTAAATTATTTGAATGGAAGAGTAATTATATTACAATAACATAAATTGAATTAGCACTAAGCCTTACAATTGTATTTAAAATATGATTGTAACAGGTTTGTTATTCATTCTCTATATTAAGATGAAATTGCCTCAGAATCAAATCAACAGAGCAACAGTGATGGTCTTGGAACTGAGCCAGAGACAGAAAAAGTTCAGAATGAGAAAGAAAGGCAATACAGTGAGACAGAGAGGGAAGAGACAGATGCAGAACAGGAAGAAATGGAGAGTGGGGCAGCCACAGCCATGTACACAAGGGAGAAAAAGACGGAAGACTTTGAGTTTTTGCTTCAGTTACAAAACCCATCAGATCCTGCTCATGTAAAGAAATACAATATAACATACAATGTGGCCTTCACAAAATTTTTAAATTCAGTAGGACCCTGTCGTCCAATTTTGCCGTTCCCAAAAAATGACCAAGGACGTTCGTTTCAGGGACAGTGGTATGAAGAACACCCATGGTTGGAGTATTCTCCTGAGAATGATGCAATGTACTGTTTCAGCTGCAGGCTTTTCATGAATGATGAAAAGTATAAGAGCAGGACAGGTTGGAAGTCAGTGGGGTTAAGTCTGTGGAAGCAAGCTAAAGGAAAAATGAAGGAGCATAGCAGGACAGAGTCACACATGCTAGGCATGATTCGGTGGAATGCCTTTAAAAGAAAAGCATTGGATACAGCATTGGAAAAGGCCGACTTTGAGATGCAAGCAGCCAAAGAAAGAGAAAGGCAAAAAACAGGGAGATTATCTACCGACTGATTGATATTATATTGTACTTAGCGAAACAAGGCATGGCATTCAGAGGTGACAATGAAAGCCTCTCAAGTTCAAACAAAGGAAATTTCTTAGAGCTTGTAGAGTTGGTTGGCCAATATGACAGTGTCCTTAAGCTTCATCTTGACAACATCAAAGAAAAACAAGCATCAGGTCAAAAACCTCAGGTGTCTCTCCTCTCAAACCGAATACAAAATGACCTGATTAGAGCAATGGCTATTTATGTGAAACAGGAAATACTGAAGGAAGTAAGGGAAGCGTCAATATTTTCAATTTTACTTGATGAAACTACTGATGTATCGCACATCGAACAGGTGTGCTTTGTGGTGCGTTATGTACATGACATGACCATAAAGGAGCGCTTCATTCAGCTCTGTGATGTTCAATCAACAACAGGAGAACAGCTTGAAAACCTAGTAATGAACTTGCTGAAGGAGAACCAGCTGAAAGTTGAGGACATCCATGGTCAGGGTTATGATGGAGCAGCCAACATGAGTGGGCCTTACAAAGGACTACAGTCCAGAATACAAAAGAAAAATGAAAAGGCATTATATGTTCATTGCCATGCTCATTGTTTGAATCTTGTATTAGTGGAGAGTGCAAAGTCAAGCATTCACTTTGTCAGTTTTTTTACAGTAGTTGAAAAACTTTACACCTTCATTGCCAACTCCACAAAACGACATGCAGCTTTTGTTCAAACACAGCAAGCCATGAATCCTGGCCAGCGTGCCCTTGAGCTACAGAAGCTCTCAGACACCCGATGGACCTGCAGGGAAACAGCCCTCAGGACTCTCAGAAAATGCCTCCCTGCAGTTGTGCAATTCCTGGAAGATCTGACCAAGTCTGAGCCACCTGATCTATCTGCAGGGGACGCACACATGCTGTTGCACTGCATTAACTTTGAATTTATTCTTTGCTTGGAGATAACAACTCCAATATTCATGGAAACAGCAGTTGCTTCAAATGCTCTTCAGCGGCAAGACTTGGACTTGGCAGCAGCATACACTGTTGTAAATGGTGTCATTAGCAGAATGAACACACTGAGGACTGAAGAGCAATTCAAAGAAATATTTCACAATGCTACCATTCAAGCAGAGGCCAGAGGGATCAATGTGCCTGAAGAGATTCCAGGACAAGCAAGGCGGCGAAAAGTACCAACAAAGTTGAAGTACTGCTCCACATCAGCAACAGAGGACCACCAGCCACAGACTTTAGAGAAGTACTACAGAGGAAGGATGTACTTCACTTTTTTGGATTCCCTGATTCAGGAACTCCACAGGCGATTTCAAGGGAAGGGGAACACTGACAAAATTGTGATGTCACTGCATTGTTTGATTGAGCCATCAAAGTGGAAAGACACTGCAGACACTGAAGCACTTAATGCTGCCCATACTCTCTGTGAGTTTTACGGATTTCAAAAGGAGGAGGAACAGCTGCGAACTGAGCTTAGAGTTTTCTACTCTTCCTTCACATGCTCACAAAAAAGTGCCCATGCAATGTTGGAAACATTTAAGGAGTTTGATGCTCATGTTGTGTTTCCAACACTTTTCAAGCTGCTGAAAATCTTTGCAACACAACCTGTCTCAACAGCCACTGTTGAACGCTCATTCTCGAAGTTGAAGCTGGTGAAAACTAAACTTCGTAATTTGTGTGGACAAGAACGACTCTCTGATCTTCTGCTTCTGGCCATTGAAAAAGACATCCCAATCATAAAAGATGAGGTGATTAAGATCTTTCAGGACATGGTACCAAATAGAAAGGTTTTGCTGTAAAAGGAAAAGCTAAATATCAAAATGTAAAACTGTAAATAGTTTATGTTATTATCTCCAGTCCAATGTGTAATTGTGAATCAAAAAAAAAAATAGGTTATCAAGATCTTTCAGGACATGGTAGCAAATAAAAAAGTGTTGCTGTAAATGGAACAAGTAAATAAAAAAATGTAAAACAGCAAATAGTTAGTTATTATCAGCAAGTTTGTAATTGTGGTGTTCTATCAAAACATCTACAATAAATTCTAAAATGTATTTGAGCGTGTGCTGTCTTCTCTTTTAATTGTATATTTCGTAATAACTGGATAATTAGTGTTAACAAGCAACCACCCCCTTAGTGCCCCTTTTTTTTGTTTAGGCCACTGCCCCTCAAAATGTCTGTGCACGGCCCTGCCTCACACATATGTATGTGGGAAGTATTTCATAACAGGTAAGCCGATTATTTCATTAATTCAACCCCCCAAACTATCTGTATTTAACATGAAGTAGTGTACTTGCTAGTTACTGGCTTTAATTTCGTTACCATACCAACTAAGCCAGTTAGTGCTAGCTTGCATGTAGCTATGGCTAGGCAGCTAGGATACCGCCTAGGGTGTATCAGAGTTTTTATACCATATGCATGTACTGAAACGGTATTTTACAATGTTAAACCAATTCCAGGAAGCCATGTTAAAGAACCCCTGCACCCGAGAAGGGTCTGGCTGCAGACTTGCACTCTCAGACTTGCACGCTCAGACTTGCACGCTCAGACACGAGCGCTTCCGCTGCAAGTGACGTCACTTGCAGTCGACACCTGCTCTCCGCTACCGGCTGTGGCGGCACTTGCAATCCCTTTTTCTCCGTGTTATTTCACAGAGTCGATTGATGCCAGATTTGAAGATAGCCAGCAAGTGGTGTTTGGATCAATCTAGTGCACTGCATGGTTCTGTTCATTTGCCCAAAGTAGTGTGTATGGAGGAACAAGACGTTGCGGAAGCCATTGAGAGATTAGAGAAGGCTGAGTTTCCACAGGACAGAATCGATGCTCTGGAACCCTTTTGCTTCATCTTTACTGTAATGAATGACATGCAAATGTTTCTTGAACATGTAGTCGATGTCATGAAATTAAAGGTAAACTGTCGAACTACACTAGAGCAAAGTGAATAATGTGCTAATGTGTTTTTATATATGTTGTATATTGTCTATTTGTACCTTGTATTTGTCTGTTTTGCACATTAACTGTGTACTGTAAATTGACATTTACAATAAAAAGAAAAAAAATGCATCATCTTGATGTTTTTCATCTACAAACTGTTCCCACAAAGTTGGGAGCATGAAATTGTCCAAAATGTCTTGAAAATAATTAAAAATAATTACATATATAATAATAGTAAAAATAATTTCTTTCTTTCTCATAACTGAGTTTTGATTTCTAAGTGATCAATTTATGTACAAGTGTTTTCCCACATGATTATTGGCTGTAGGTCATCAGTAAATGTGGTAATTTGGTAATGTGGCATTTAAATTCCAGTGTTTCCCAGATGAAACACAAGAGCTGTTAGTTTTGAATGATGTGTGTAATGTAGAGAAATGTGTTTAGAGTTTTGCAAATAGTTTGTTTTTCAAATCCAAACTGAGTGCAAGCAAAGCATATAATGTCCTTGTATTTTTGCAGGCTTGGTCTAAAGATTGGGTACATGAGTGAATGGTTTCACTGAGTGAGCCTCAAATTCCACTTGTAGTGTTTTAGCAATTTGAAAAAAACTGTCAACAAAATGACAAATGACACCTTAACACGACCAAAATGAGCGTGTCTACGCGTTCAAAAGAAACACGTAAAAAATTGCCGCGGACAAACACTGCGTGTTGACGCGGTCAAATTTCACGCGTTTCGTTTATCGCGTTCCGTAGAGAGCAGGCGTCGATTGCAAGTGACGTCACTTGCAGCGGAAGCGCTCGTGTCTGAGAGTGCAAGTGACGTCACTTGCAGAGGAAGCGCTCGTGTCTGAGCGTGCAAGTCCGAGAGTGCAAGTGACGTCACTTGTCTGCAGCCAGACGCTATTGCTGCACCCGGATTTTGTGCCCACAATATTTCCTCACCGTACTGTGGCAGACCCAAACCAGAAATTGAATAGGTATAAACACGCCAGGAAACGTGAGCAGACGTCACCCCTTCTCAAACGCAAGGTGGCAAAAACGACTGCTGTGAGCCCAGATCTACCTACAAGTAAGTTTTGAGCTTCATTCGTGCCCAGGAGACCTGCACCCTGCCTGGGATTTACTTTTCAGATAAATCAGACCGTCTTTTCCTGGAGGTTTGATGTTTTTCAGAGCTCCACAACGGCGGAGATTGAACTCACTTCCCCAGCCAGAGTGCACCCTCTCTGGCATGGGTCAGTGTCTTGAAGACCCTGGAGCTCCGAACCCACAGCTCGTTTATGGACTTAGTCAATTTTTCAATTCTGACTCCAGAGTCAAGCCGGCCAGGGGCTGACATGCACTCGTTGAGATTGTATTAAGATGGTCAGGCTAAAGCTGGATTGGGGTTAGATGTGCGGGCTAAAGCAACTTATTTTTCTCGTTAGTTCTCGATGGAGACCATTGCCCAGCTGACAACGATGATGCTGACGATGTCCCTGATGAAATGCGTGAGTCAAGGAACTGCCTGTCATCTTTTTCTTTGGAGGAAAATGATGGAAAGTGCCGACAGATGACTGGACTCAGCTGGATGATGTTTTTGAGCCTATTTACATTTCTTAACCAGTTTGTGAAGAGGCGAGGCTGCATCTCCCTTCCACCGCGGGACCAGCTGTTTATTACACTGATAAAACTACGTCAAAACCCATCCTTTTTGTTCTTAAGTCACGTTCTGAAAATGCCTCAAACAACTGTCAGGCAAATTTTTATCCGATGGCTTGACCTGATGTATGGGAAAATTTCCTTTTTAGTTCACTGGCCTGATAGGGAATGTTTTTCACTGATACCTCCACAAATGAAGGCCCAGTTCCCACGACTCACAGCAATCATAGATTGTTTTGAAATCAGGACAGAGTACCCTAGCAACCTTAAAGCTAGGTGAGTGTCACAAGAAATGTCTTTACACACTCTCACATCCCAAATTGAAATAAAAGGCTAGATGTCATTGCTATTATGTATCCTTTCTTAGAGCAAAATCATACTCTAACTAAAAGAAATGGACAACAGTGAAATATCTAATAGCATGCAGTCCATCTGGCAGCATTAGATTTTTGTCAAATGGATGGGGAGGAAGGGCCTCTGATGTGCATATTGTTCGACAGTCAGGATTCCTGTCCTCAGTGTACCATTCTCCAGGTGATCAGGTAAAATTGGAATTACGTGTATCTCAACTAACCACATTCATGTAATTTGATTAGGGTGTCATGTCACCACCCTCTGGTGAAAAAGCAGAATAAAGTAGATACAATGCAATATTATGGTGGATTTTTTTAATCTCTAGATATTAGCTGACAGGGGGTTTACACTCCAGGATGACTTTGCCCTCCTCGGTGTCGAGCTGCTAACACCGTCATTCACAAAAGGAAGGAAGCAGTTACCTGGGAGAGAGGTGGAAATGTCTCGTAGGAAGTCAAACATCCGGATTCACATTGGTAAGTAAAACTAGATTATTGTAATGCTGTTTTATTTGTAAAGACAATTTAGAAAAGCACTCCCTTTTTGTTGTTGTCGTCCTTACGGAGCGGGTGATTGGTGTGCTGAAAGGTCGCTTTCACATCCTTGACGGTCCACTCCCTCGCTGTCTGGTTCAGTCTGCACGGGACAAAAACCAAGGGCAAGCAACAGTTGACAAACTTGTAAATGTTGGTGCAGCACTTGTAAACATGGCACTGTAATGATGCAGCAAGGACGAAGCAGAGAGAGAATCCAAATGCAGCTAGTTTAATAAATAACAGGTGAAACAAAGAAACCCGGAACTCAGGACAGGAACAGTGAAGCAACAACATCAAACGTTACAACATCAAGAACTCACAAGGACTGGACTGAAACGCAGGGCTTAAATACAAGGGCAAACGATCTAAACAGGATAACAAGGGGGCGTGGTTAACGGGAAACACCTGGGAAGACTAATAGAGATAACGGGGAGCGGGAAAACAGGGAACAGGACTGAACCAAGTGCACAAAGACAGGGGGAACACAGACAGACATCACAACATAGCCCCCCCTCTATGGGCGGCTCCCGACGCCCAACAAAACAGAAAACAAGACAGTTCGGGAGGGTGGTGGAGCGGAGGCGGTCCCGGGGGAGGGATGGAGGGCCAGGTCCGCGCAGGGAAGGGGACCAGGGCCTTGCAATGACGGGCATGAGCCATGGAACGTGGGCGGACCTGGGCCATGGAACGTGGGCGGAGCAGGACGAACAGACGGCCAGGGCGGAGCAGGCTGTGGGCGTTTCCACGACGGAGCAGGCTGAGGGCGAGGCAACGGCGGGGCAGGCTGTGGGCGTGACCAGGGCGGAGCAGGCTGTGGACCCTCGGGCATCCAGGGCGGAGCTGTCGGACCCTCAGGCTTCCAGGGTGGAGAAGACCCCTCGGGCGGCCACGGCGGTGAAGACCCTTCGGGCGGCCACGGCGGAGAAGACCCCTCGGGCGGCCACGGCGGTGAAGACCCTTCGGGCGGCCATGGCGGTGAAGACCCTTCGGGCGGCCATGGCGGTGCGGCCTTCATAGTCCCATCCAGGGTCCTACTGCCCCCCCCCCAAAATTTTCTTAGGGGCAGCCATGGGGTCATCAGCAGGAACAGACACCGGCACAGGATCAGCGGGCTCTGGCGCAGGATCAGCGGGCTCTGGCGCAGGATTAGCGGGCTCTGGCGCAGGATCAGCGGACACCGGCTCAAGTGTGTGCGTAGCCCACACACACCACATGGCTGTGGCCGTAATGGCCAGTGTTGCGGTCACTGAGGGCTCAGGCGGCGCATGCGTGGCGTGATCAGTCTCTGGCTGGGCAGACGTGACGTGAACGGTCTCTGGCTGGGCAGATGTGACGTGAACGGTCTCTGGCTGGGCAGACGTGACGAGAACGCTCTCTGGCTGGACGGTCTCTGGCTGGACGGTCTCTGGCTGGACGGTCTCTGGCCGGACGGTCTCCTTGGCCCTCCGCACTGACATCAGCGGCGGATGTGCCACGGTGGACATCAGTCCTGGACGCCCATAGACCGACGTGTTGGCAAGCTTAAAGGCTGACGTAACGAGAAGGACAGGCTGAGGGAATACTGCAGGCTCACTGAGCTCCTTCTCCTCCACGCCCACAGTAAACAATGATCGGCTCATCCACAGGGCCTGGTCAATATACTGTTCCAATGACCCGAGAGGGTCATGATCGGGCATTAATGACCGGAGAGGTTCAGATAACCCTCCGCGGAAGAAGATCTTTAAACACAGATCGTCCATAGCAGACAGATGAGCCAGCTCAATAAAATCTGTGACATAGTCTTCAATGGATCGATCTTCCTGACGACGACGCATGATCTGGACATCTGGGCACAGGGTTGGCATGGCTGCTGGATTCATGTTGCGGTGAGTTCTTCTGTAATGATGCAGCAAGGACGAAGCAGAGAGAGAATCCAAATGCAGCTAGTTTAATAAAATAACAGGTGAAACAAAGAAACCCGGAACTCAGGACAGGAACAGTGAAGCAACAACATCAAACGTTACAACATCAAGAACTCACAAGGACTGGACTGAAACGCAGGGCTTAAATACAAGGGCAAACGATCTAAACAGGATAACAAGGGGGCGTGGTTAACGGGAAACACCTGGGAAGACTAATAGAGATAACGGGGAGCGGGAAAACAGGGAACAGGACTGAACCAAGTGCATAAAGACAGGGGGAACACAGACAGACATCACAACAGGCACAAAGTATTATTAAATAAATACTAAAGTATGTTCAATAGTGTCTCTATTTTTTTTATATACACTCACCTAAAGATATATTAGGAACACCATACTAATACTGTGTTTGACCCCCTTTCGCCTTCAGAACTGCCTTAATTCTACGTGGCATTGATTCAACAAGGTGCTGAAAGCATTCTTTAGAAATGTTGGCCCATATTGATAGGATAGCATCTTGCACTTGATGGAGATTTGTGGGATGCACATCCAGGGCACGAAGTTCCCGTTCCACCACATCCCAAAGATGCTCTCTAAGGTTGAGATCTGGTGACTGTGGGGGCCGTTTTAGTACAGTGAACTCATTGTCATGCTCAAGAAACCATTTTGAAATGATTTGAGGGTAACACTTTACTTGAAGGGGTGTACATAAGACTGACATGACACCTTCATAACCATGACATGACATATGTCATGAATATGAAGTAGGGTTTATGCATGTTTATGACAACTGTCATTAAGTGTCTTTCGCTCAATAATGACATTTTGAATGCAAATATGACATTGTTTAAGATGTCTTTGTTATGACACCTTGACATAAACCAAAAACATCATAACCTGTCAGTGTCTTTGTCATGACAACTTGACATTAAATTAAGTTAAACTGTCATGTGGTTGGTTTTGACATTGGCTGTCATAAGGCCATTATAACTGTGTCATGAATATTTTTCGTGACCTCAACTACAGTGGTACAAATTGAATTTGTCATTAAACAGTTATAATGGCTTCATGACAGCCAATGTCAAAACCAACCACCTGACAGTTTAATGTAATGTTAACCAATAAAGCTAAGTGGTTTCTTAAGTTTGATAATTAATCTGCTATGTCATGTTTATGACAGGTTGTGTTGTCTTAGTAATGTCAAGTTATCATGACAAAGACACTGACAGGTTATGATGTATTGGTTTATGTCAAGGTGTCATAACAAAGACATCTCAAACAATGTCATATTTGCATTAAAAATGTCATAATTGAGCAAATGACACTTAATGACAGTTGTCACAAACATGCATAAAACTTCCTTCATATTCATAACATGTGTCATGTCATGATTATGAAGGTGTCATGTTAGTCTTATGCACACCCCTTCAAGTAAAGTGTTACCGGGATGGACATGGTCAGACACAATGCTCAGGTAGGCCGTGGCATTTAAACGATGCCCAATTGGCACTAAGGGGCCTAAAGTGTGCCAAGAAAACATCCCCCACACCATTACACCACCACCACCAGCCTGCACAGTGGTAACAAGGCATGATGGATCCATGTTCTCATTCTGTTTACACCAAATTCTGACTCTACCATCTGAATGTCTCAACTGAAATCGAGACTCATCAGACCAGGCAACATTTTTCCAGTCTTCAAATGTCCAATTTTGGTGAGCTCTTGCAAATTGCAGCCTCTTTTTCCTATTTGTAGTGGAGATGAGTGGTACCCGGTGGGGTCTTCTGCTGTTGTAGCCCATCCGCCTCAAGGTTGTGCATGTTGTGGCTTCACAAATGCTTTGCTGCATACCTCGGTTGTAACGAGTGGTTATTTCAGTCAAAGTTGCTCTTCTATCAGCTTGAATCAGTCGGCCCATTCTCCTCTGACCTCTAGCATCAACAAGGCATTTTCGCCCACAGGACTGAAAAATATGCACAGGACTGAAAAATATGTACATTAAAAATACAACAAATAAATAGAGAAGGTGAATACACAAACACATACACATATACACATTCATATACACATGTATATACACATATCAACGTACATACGGGCATGAAATATACACATATATGAAAACACATTCTACACATACACCTATAAACATACCTACACATGTACATCTACATACATATTCCCTCACATATATAAATAAATATAAACAGTCAGATATATTATTTTGATAGATGCTGTTTTACATATAATTTAAATTTATTGACATTATTAGTAAGCATGATATGTTTTTGGCAGTTTATTCCATTCCTTCATACCTCTGAACACAACAGTGTTTTTTATGGCATTTGTTCTTACTATGGGTAAGGTGAAGTTACCTTTAGTTGCATGTCTAGTACTGTACTGATGATTGTCTACACTAAAAGAAAGCTGCTTGAACAAAGCAGAAGGAAATTTTGAGATAGAAATATTTCTTATGAAAATTAACAGTGAATATAACAGTCTATCTTCGACCAACAACCAATTAAGATCTTTGTGCATTAATATAATATTTCTCCTATAGCTGCACCTAAGTGCTACACGAGCAGCTCTATTCTGTATAAGTTGTAATTTATTCATATATTCACCAGTAGCATTTGACCAAACTGCTGGGCAATAGTCGAGATATGTCAATATTAGTGCTTTCATCGCATAATTCATAATATTTGAAGTTAAAAAATGTGCATGTCTTCTCATAATAGATATACCTTTTCCCCATTTTTGCAATAATATTACTAATATGTTTTTTCCATGATAATCTAGAGTCAACTATTACACCCAGCAGTCTGGTCTCATGCACCTGTTCAATAATTGCGTTATTAATTTTAATATGAATTACAGGATTTTGATTAATGTTATATTTTGAACCTAAAATCAGGCAGTTAGTTTTTACAGTGTTTAATGTCAGTTTATTTAATTTGATCCAATCTACTACATATTGTAATTCTTTATTTAAAACAGTTTATAATTCCATTTGTGTACTTGCTGATGTATATATAGTTGAATCATCAGCGATACATACAGGATTTTGATTACAGGATTTGATTACAGGATTACAGGATTTTGATTAATGTTATATTTTGAACCTAAAATCATGCAGTTAGTTTTTACAGTGTTTAATGTCAGTTTATTTAATTTGATCCAATCTACTACATATTGTAATTCTTTATTTAAAACAGTTTCTAATTCCATTTGTGTACTTGCTGATGTATATATAGTTGAATCATCAGCGTACATGACAATGTTAGCCTTATGTAGAATATACGGTAAATCATTAGTAAAAATATTAAATAATAATGGACCCAGACAACTGCCTTGGGGTACTCCACATTTATACGCCAAAAATGTTTTTTGCGTGCATATGCTACGCACTGAAAACCCCTTGGGTAGGTTTAGGGGGGAGGGGGGTGGGGAGTGCGTGCGTATTACACGCCATAAAATGCGTATCATATGCACGCGAAAACTGCGTATCATATAGACGCAAAAAACATTTTTGGCGTATAAATGGCACGAGAAATGACATTCGTGGTATAGATACGCACTTTCATGAGATCGGGCTCAATATTTCTGATACCTGAGAGACTGCCATTAAAAAACACTGTCTGTGTTCTGTTTGACAAGTAACTGTACATCCATGTGATTGCTGATTGCTCAAAACCATAACAAGATAATTTTGTTAATAACAGGTCGTGATCTATGATGTCAAAGGCAGCAGAAAAATCTAAAAATACAGCACCTGTAATAGTTCTCTTTTCAGTCTCTCTAAGCCAATCATCAGACATGTGAGTCAGTGCAGTGGCAGTGGAGTGACTTTTTCTGTATGCATGCTGAAAATCTGTTAATAAATCATTTGTATAAAAATAGTTATTAATTTGATCGTATACTATAGATTCCATTATTTTAGATAATACAGGTAACATACTTATCGGGCGACTGTTGGGACCAGAGAAAGGCAGTTTTTTATCTTTGGGCAGAGGAACTATTTTAGCCTGCTTCCATGCCTGTGGGCAGGTACAGCAGATTAAACTGAGGTTAATGATGTGGGTTAGAACAGGGGCAATAAAATCAGCAGCTAGTTTAAGAAGCCTGCTGTCAAGACCGTCGACGCCCGGTGGTTTGTTTTTGCAGGTTTTTAAAAGATTCTTTACTTGATCAATATTTACACTTTCTAATTTAAACCTTAAGTTTTTATTTTTCATCAATTGATTTCTTATTAATAGGTAAGATATGTCATTACTTAGATTAGGCATATTTTCTCTTAGTTTATCTAATTTTCTTATAAAATAATCATTAAGATAATTTGCAATATCTATTGGCTTAATTATAAATTTATCCCGTTTAAAAATTTATTCCCGTTCTTACCAGTCAATTGATTTAAAACATTCCATAACTTCCTATTATCATTACCTATATTTTTAACTTGATTATCAAAATAAATTTTTTTCTTCTTTTTATTAAGTTTAGTAACAGAATTTCTCATTTTACGATATAGGTCCCAATCACATTTATTTCCTGTAGTAACTGCTGTTCTTTTCATTTGACCTCTTATGTTCATAGAATTTTTCAGTTCATCATCCAACCAAGGTGTGATGTTGTTCCTGACAGTAAACTTCTTTAAAGGCGCATGTTTCTCAATCAGTGACAAGAATAGATTGTTAAATTTAAAGAGAGCAGTTTCTGGATTACTAGCAGCCAACACATCAGACCAGCATATAGCTTGAACATCTTCAATAAACTTGTCATTTTTAAAAAATGTATAAGATCTTTTAAATAAGACTGCAGTTCCAGATCCACTCAGCTTGGTTGTTAACGCAGAAATGATCAAATTATGATCACTGCTACCAGTGGGAATAGACAGTACCTTTTTACACAGTTCAGGACGGTTTGTAAAAAATATGATCTATACAGGTTGATGTTCTGGAGCCATCGCTCTTGAAACATGTTCTTGTGGGCTTATTTATCAGTTGAGTAAGTCCACATGCATTTGCAGTAGTTAACAGTTTTCTTTTCAAGTGGCAGTCTTTAGAAAACCAGTCAATGTTTAAGTCACCCATGAAATATATGTCCTGACTTACATTAGTATTTATATCCAACATTTTACAGATAGTGTCAAGATATTCACAATTGGCACTTGGTGACCGGTAACAGCAACACAGAAGTATCGACTTTCGATGAGGTAGATGCATTTGCAACCATAATATTTCGATGTTAAAACTCATTAAATCAGTTCTTATTTTTACTGGTAAGTGATTTTGAGTATAAAAAGCCACTCCACCACCAAAACCATTTCTGTCATTTCTGTATAACCTTCAATAAATAGTTCTGTATCATCAAAGGAGGAGTCCAAGTGGGTCTCTGAGATAGCAAGAATGTGTATTTTATACTCATTTAGCAGTTCAGCAACTTCATTGATTTTATTCCTGAGACTGTTTATATTAAAATGTGCTAGTCTTAAGCCTTTTCTTGGTAATGAGTACATGAGTTTTATGTGCTATCATACCTTCAGAGTTGCGCAGAGATTACTCAGGGGTGCTAGTGCGGGAATGGATGAGTGGGGGGAAAAGCCTGGTTAAGTAGCAACTTCTTTTTAACTGCTATAACGTTAACTGCTGTGAGTTAAAATAATCACCTAATTATTTCAACCTAAAAATGACCTCTGCACTGGACTAAATATATGTAAAATATATATCTGACTGCCGAGTCGCTTTCACCCCAAAATGGCGGAAGCGTAGGGCTGCTGCTGGGCGCTGGTGTTGCAATGGAACGTTCTATAGAGGGTATGCGCATGACGTCAGCGTCGGCCGGAGTGAATGCGGTCACGCCCACAAGTGGCAAAAAGACTGAGCGGCAGCATTTGTTTTCAGCGTGAACGCCGTGAAAATCACACAAAACACATCTAAAACGGGAAAGAGCTTTGCGATTGACTGTACAACTAGATTTGACCAGAAATCTGAGGTACTGTATATTTTTACAGACTGCAAAAAGCTACAGAACAGACTATATTCTGCATAATTGGATGTTTTTAAATAAACACTGACAAAAAACTATACAAGTTTTAGGGCTGGACGATATGATGATATACAGTATACCATTAATGTAAGTGATCACTCGGATTTAGACCTATCTATATTGTATTTATATATAACGTTTACAGGCAAATTGTCTTCATTTATTTCCCCGGCGTCGAAATCAGGCACATATAAATGTCAGGAAACACGATTCCTGGCTGCATGTCAATATCCATGGATCACTGGATCTTTGATAAGTTGTAAGGAACACTATATATCGAGTCCAACTTTTAGTTTAAACTGATAATAGTTTGTTTTACTCGCGTTAACGCAGTTTCCCCTATTAACTCCAGTCACGCAGCAGCTCTTCTGCCACTCAGTCCCGCTGGCGATATTTTTTTTCACAGGATGGTAGGGGAAGACTCATAAATATTCATTAGGGAACTCATCCCTGATTGGTCTGATGACCTACTCCCTAACCCCGCCCCTAAACCTACCCGTCACTGGGGGTCTGATGACCTACCCCTAACCCCGCCCCTAAACCTACCAGTAACTGGGGTTAAGACCAATCAGGGATGAGTTCCCTAATGAATATTCATGAGTCTTCCCCTACCATCCTGTGAAAAAAAATATCGCGTCCCGCTGAGGGGGGCGTGTTCCGGCGGGGAAGTGACGTTAATGCATTCCCTCTATTGGCTTTCACTTCTTGTCAATATACGTTCTTTGTTGTGGCTTGGATCACACAGTAGCTTGGACAAAGAGAGTAGAGTCTCTGATTCAGTTCCCAGTAGGTGGCAGTAATGTACTTTATAATAGTATGCACCCCCCATTTAAACCAGAAAGAAGAAGAAGAAGAGGTACGAGAGGGAAGGGCATAAACATGTGAAGTGGAACACCGTTCATTCTGCTCCAAATTCTGATTGTTTTCATACCGTGAGTGCAATCATTTGATTTTTTTATAGGAGAAATCTAAATCCAAACGACTAAACGAGTTAGTTTATTTAGTGAATCACTCAGAAATGAATCGAAATGAACCGACCGATGTTGTACATTACACTAATGAAACGTAAGCTTGACTGGAAGGCTATTTTACACTACAGTTTGTGAAGACTATGATTTGTTTTCGTTTTATGTAATGAACAAATTAAACCTGGTAAACAGAGTTTTTAATGATGAATCATATCGAATGTAAGAGCAACATAAATATGAGCTAGATGAGTTAGAAGTTAAAGTTTGCCTTTTTTAGCACTCTTTTAAAATTTGGGTTAAATTCAGTATTTGCTTGCATTCATTAATATTCACTTGTGTGTGTTTATACGAGTATCATTAAAAAAATAGTTATTTACTAGTTATAAAGTTAACTCTTTTTAATTTCACATTTAAAAAAATCTAGTGTTTGATCATGTCTAAATATTTATTCAAATGTAAAACCTAAAAATAAGTAAGCAGTTATGATCTGCAATACTCTTTTGAGCAACTACTAGTAGATGCATGTATATTTATTAAAGAGCCATACAGGAACCTAGTGGGTAAACCATGGCATAAAAAAGTTTTTTCCAGGCACAAAATTACTTTAATTTGGTTCTTTGCATTGCCCTTTTCTCTATTTTAACCTTAAATACTACACTAATTGTAATATAAATAATACAAATATTAGAAAAAATCATTAATGGACCATAATTATTGCACAAATAGTATTCGTTTTTTTTTTAATTCGCTTTGGTACTATTTTAACAAGTAAGGTGTACATTTTCAAAACTCTTAGTGCTAATATCACAACAGATCATCAAAAGTGCACTTTTTTTCAATCATTTCATCATGTTTTCAATTGTGTTAGTACAATCCCCAAAATCACAAAGTATCCTTTTCACTACACAAAATAACTGTTTCATCTATATAAATGTTTCATTCACAGTAGCTGCCTTTCATAATGCATAACTATCAAACTTTGGATTTGCATTTCTTCGTGTTCAGTGTAATACGTTTGTCTATTATTTAATCCAACTGATCTTAATGGTTAATCAATTAATCATTTGGTACACCTATAGATTTCTATAGATACAGATTCTATAGATATAGTTTCTACTTTGTTTGGAATTTCTGATACAGATAACCAAAGGTAATGAATTATTTTTACATTATAAGTGATTTTTCTTAGATTAAAACCACTATGTTCAAAGTGTGTTTGTGTGTGTGTGGTCTGTGTGTCCTGGTAAACTCGCTTCTTGGAACACTGAAACAGTTTAAAGCAAATGTGGCATTTTGTGTCTAGGCTTCGAAACAATCTGACGTGTCTCCACGGGGACCCCTAGTGGTCAGAACAGTGTAAATGCAACAAAAACCCAGGCCAAACATGCATAAAAACACCTTTTGCACCTTTTGCAAAAATTGCACTTTTTTTTATTGAAAGTCAAATCTTTCAAATTCAATTATCTAATCATCTAATAAGATTATCAAGTCAAGTCACATTTATTTATATAGCGCTTTTTAGAATACAGATTGTTTCAAAGCAGCTTTACAGAGATAACAGGAAAATAATGCAAAAAAGTTTGTTTCCAGAAGAAAATAACGTCATAGTCCAGTTTAAGTAAGTTCAGTGATGTTTCATTTTTCCTTAAAAAAAAAGTTATTAATTTAGTTCATTTATATATAGCCGCTCTGGAGTAAACCGTGATGTCATCGTCCAGCTCAGTTCAGTTCTCGATAATGGTGTCAATGCAGGCAGATCAATATTATTGTTGAATATTACATTAAATGTTAAATTTAATGTCCCCAACTTAGCAAGCCAAGCCAATGGCAACAAAGGTGGAAAAAGGCAACAGTGACAGTGAACCAAAACTCCATCAGGTGGCAGAATGGAGAAAAACCCTTGGGAAAACCCAGGCTCAGTCGGGGGCCAGTTCTCCTCTGGCCAATGAGCGAACTGTGTATGATTATGATTCAAGCAGCATTATAGGTCATAAGTAGGGGTGTAACGATACACGTATTCGTATTGAACCGTTCGGTACGAGGCTTTCGGTTCGGTTTTCGGTACGCATTTTTGAACCGAATGGTTCGTTGGACCATTTTTCCTGCCGACCAAAATTTCGTTATTTCAAATGTAGGCGCGTCACGCATGCTCATAATGTAAGAGATGCTGGCGTGACCACAACATTGCCCAACATCAAATGGCAAATGTAATGTAAGCGGAACGAAACTGAGCTACTCGTTATTGTGTGGTTGACGGACCGTTTATCAGTTTGGAGGACCAAAGCACCGCGAGCCGATCTTGATCAAGCAGCACTATACAGCGACATCCAGTAAAGAAAACATTTGAATTCGCCACTGAAGTAATAACATCGCTGAGAGATCTAGTGAGACACATTCACATTTCTCCGTTATTAACAGATCAAACAGCGCTGACGTGGAAAACAGGAAGAAACATTGTGCCATGAACTATCCAGTGTCCACAGATCAGCAACATTCACCATGGATCTACTGTAGTAACACTAACTGTAACCATGGAAGTTTGGCAGGAATAGTAGGCTATAATGCTTTCAAGTAACATCACGTCAGTTTTATTTTGACATTGTGAATACAATTGCTGCCCTCAAATGTTAATCTGAACTAAAATAAACCTTTGTTTATAACTAGCCTACTACAATATTACATTTCATTTTGTCCAAGGAGCTGTTTTGTTTTATAAGCTCCTAAGAAAAGTCAAGTATAGCTCCATCGTTGCTTAAAGTTAAAAAATATCATACTTTATGATGTTAGTTTTAATAAAAATATAATTAAATCAAGGAAATTTCTCTGGCATTTCTTTCTTTTTGCTGTATCGGAAACGTACCGAACCGTACCGAACCGTGACACGTGTATCGTATCGAACCGAACCGTGAATTTTGTGAACCGTTACACCCCTAGTCATAAGTCAGATTGGTTTGGAACAATCAGAATATTATCCAGTTACATCTGGTTGAAGATCAGAGTCACGCCGGTATGGAGACGGGTTTGTTGACGATCAGTTCCGATGGCTGTCGTGTCGGTGAGGCCTTCGATGAGAGTCTAGTTGACACAATCTCTGCTGACACTTCAGGGATGCGTTGTGGTCGTGTGTAGGTGGAGGTCCTCAATCTGGTCTGGATACGGCCCGGATCCGGCTGACTACATGCGTTGTGGTCGTGTCTAGGCCCAGGTCCTCCATCTGATCTGGATATGGCCCGGATCCGGCTGATTACAGTAAACCTCAGAATAAGCAGAAAGACTAACATTAGCATAGATGCCAATCTTCTTATGATGTAACGAGTACATCGGGTGTTCTAGGAAGTGTTTCCGGTACCGGCTGACCTAATTTATGCAGCCTAATAATCATTTAACTGATTTGAATAATAGGAATGTACAATTTTCTATGTGTATGCCAGGATAAAGAGATGCGTTTTTAGTCTAGATTTAAACTGATAGAGTGTGTCTGCTTCCCCGGCAATGTTAGGAAGACTGTTCCAGAGTTTAGGTGCTAAATAGGAAAAGGATCTACTGCCAGCAGTTGATTTTGATATTCTAGGTATTATCAGCTGGCCTGAGGTTTGAGATGTGTGAGACAATAAATGTGTCTTTATGTTTTATTTTAAAAACAAAGAAAATAATTACATATTTTTTTATCTTTTATCTTATCCACTTTGGCCTAAATGTCTGCCTAGACATTGGCCTAAATTTTATATATATTGTTACTTTGTAAGGCTTTGTTATTAAAAAAATAAGAACAAAGATACACATTACATATACACAACATAATTTACAAATTAAATAAACTGTTTTAAGTCTATTACATAGACTTCACTGTATAAATTATGCATTGATCCTTTTAAAGCTACTATTAAAGTAAGTTCTCATTCGAGAGCAGTGAGTGATTTTCTCTTTGTGTTTTATTTTATTAACATTAAAAGGATCGTTCCTCCCAAAATAAAAAAATGTCATTTACTCTCTCAAGTTGTTTTAAAACCGAATAAGTTTCTTTCTTCTTTTGAAAATAAAAGTTATTTTGAAGAATGTGGGTAACGAAACAGTTTCTGGTCCTCAGTGACTTCCATAGTAGCCTATATTTTTTCCTACTATGGAAAGAAATCATGATATCGCAAACCCCTAAGATTCATCATACTTTGCAATGGCTTCCTCCGATATCCAATAGTATTTGATGGTAGAGTGTTGATCCTTCACGAATTTGTAAAGTTCATCAGCTGTTTGCAAGTCAGTGCCTCTTGGACTGCTTTATCTGCAATATGCAATACAGCCCCACCTACTCCATCAGGAGCTCCTTTCCCATGCGATTTCTCACTAAAGTTCCAAGTGACCCTTTGGAAGCCAGATAGAAAAGGCACTGTGCTGAGTAGAAGTTTTTCAGGTTCCTGAATTGGGTCACTGGTCCATCACTGATGATATGTCGAGTACAAGGCGGTGTGTTACATTTGCCTATGGCATCCCTCAATACAGGCTCCATGTGAGCCCATGTTCATCATGGCGGAGAGAGTGTTATAGGAAAAGGATGATGAGGCCGTATACACCACACAGGTGTGGATTGTAACCTTCTTGTGGATGCCACTGAAGTGGAAAGCCTAATTTCACTGCTGAGATTACAGCCATAGTTCTCAGAGAAGTTCAAATGAATGCAGACTTTATCCTCACGTAGTGTTTCTTTCAGCTCTCTGAGTGTTTTGGCTTGGTGGAGCCAGTTGAAATGCTGCTTTGCTAGAGAGGTTAGCTTCTTGTTCTTGTTAAAACGTCTCTTTGAGAAAAAACCCCCCACTTAAACCTGGATTATTGAGAGCGATTATAAGTGTGATGAGCATCTGCTAAATAAAATAAAGCCTGGAACACACCAAGCCGACACCGACGAACTAGCGCCGATGAAAGCCGACTGTGTTGTCGCCCCTTGGTCGCCTCTCGTCGGGTAAAAAGCTGCACTTGAACACACCGAGAGAACTACAGGCGACTGTCAGCTAGAATGCGCGTTCTGCGCCTGCATGTAAATGAGACAACTGTCTATTTCTGCAGATATATTCTCTATATTCGTCATTCAAAAAGGGGAAACCGACGCTGTCGGCTGCAGATACACAAACCATAAACAAAGCAGTGCGTGCTTACCGTTTTAAATATCAATCCTGCTAAACACTTTCTTTATTCCACTCCGCTCGTGTTAATATTGAAATATTCGCCAGGGAACACTCAGGAAAGATGACGTAACATAAGAACAGCCTTCTATCTGTAGAGTTTTGACTTCTTTGCTCGCTGTTTTGCTATTATTCTCGTGCATTGACTCTTTCACTAAGCTGAACAGCCAATCAGAGTTCCCTCTTTCACCGACGGCCCGACGCCGATTCAACATGTCGAATCGGCCGAAACAAACCTGACGAGGACCAATTTCAGCCGACGGCACAGAACCGTGCGGAACACACCGAGGAAACTCAGTCGGCCGACGCACAAAAACTGCCCGACGGCCGACCGTCGGCTTGGTGTGTTCCAGGCTTAAGATTCATCATAGCGACCACAATTCAAACCTTCAGTCAGTGAAGCCGCTCCCACAGCCGTTCATGAGAGTTTAAATGCTATATATTCCCATCTTCCCACAGGAGAAGCAGCAGAAAGCAGGAGGAATTACTCCAGGAGAAACTAATCGCATACAATTGTAAAGATGGAGTTTCAGGAAGAACCCTGCAGAATAAAAGATGAAGATACAGAGAAACTAATAGGTTGGTGTTTTCCTTCATTCTCTTTAATGACTGATGAGGAACATTAAGATGAAAACTGACAAATAACAATGTGTAAAACTATATATTATTAAACTCAATAGTAAACTATATTTTGCTAATTTGGTGGTCCCTGATTTTGTTTCTAATTTGTACATCTTCAATTGACCCATGGAAATGTAATGTTGATTTTAGACCCGGTGGAAGTGAATAAAGACAAACAGTATTTCACAAATGAAGATGGAAACAGACTGAACAGTCTTATTTCACAGACTGAACAGAATTTCACAAATGGAAAATCTGGAGTCAAGGGATCTTTCACCTGCTCTGAGTGTGGAAGGAGTTACACGCATAAATCGGCACTTACCAGACACATGAGAATTCACACTGGAGACAAACCATTCACATGCATTCAGTGTGGAAAGAGTTTCATTCGCAAAGAGGATGTAAATGTGCACATGAGAATTCACACTGGAGAAAAACCATTCACATGCACTCAGTGTGGAAAGAGTTTCACTCACATAGGCTCTTTCAAAGATCATCTGCGTTTTCACTCTGGAGTGAGATCATTCAGCTGTGATCAGTGTGATAAAACATTTGTTGTGGCATCAGGCTTGAGAGCACACCTAACAGTTCATACTGGTGTGAAGCCTTATATATGCTTTGACTGTGGGAAGACCTTCACTAGATTGCGCATCTTAAAAACACACCAGAGGATTCATACTGGAGAGAAACCTTACAAGTGCTCACACTGTGGGAAGGGTTTTACTCGGTCAGAATACTTGAAAGATCATGAGAGAGTTCATACTGGAGAGAAGCTGCACCAGTGCTCTTCATGTGGGAAGAGTTTCGCCAATTATTCTAATATGCGAGCTCATATGAAAAAGCATTGCCCAAAAGTTTCTAAGTCAGGGATGGGCAACATCGATTCTGGAGTGCCACTGTCCTGAAGACTTTATCTCTAACCCTGATAAAAACTCATCTGCCTGTAGCTTTCTAGTCATCCTGAAGACCTTGATTAGCTTGTTCAGGTGTGTTTGATTTAGGGTTGTAGCTAATCTCTGCAGGACCAGAAACCAGATCAGATGGTGGACCTGCGCCTAGACATGACCACAATGCATGATGTAGTCAGCCGGATCTGGGCCATATCCAGATCAGATGGTGGACCTGCGCCTAGACATGACCACAACACGTCCCTGGAGTGTCAGCAGAGATTGTCTACTAGACTCTCCCCTGTGAAGGCCTCATTGACACTGATCCTCAACAAACCCGTCTCCAATACCGGCGTGATGACTCCAATCTTCAACCAGATAGAACTGGATAATATTCTGAATGTTCCAATCCAATCTGACTTCTGACCTAAAATGCTGCCTAAACTGAGCTGGCCGAGGACATCACAGTTTTGTCCAGAGCGGCTATATATATATAAATGAACTAAATTAATAACTTTTTACAACAAAAATGAACCATCACTGAACTTACTTAAGCTGGACTGTGATGCTATTTTCTTCTAGAAACAAACTTTGTTGCATTATTTTCCTTTTATCTCTGTAAAGCTGCTTTGAAACAATCTGTATTGTAAAAAAAACGCTATATAAATAAAGGTGACTTGACTTAACAGTGGCCCACCAGGACTGAAGTTGCCCATCCCTGGTCTAAGTGATCAAAGTTCATGTTCTGATCCATAACTTTCAGGTAAATAGTTTGATTTTCTCAGGGTTGGTACGCAATATGGACAAGTATGGCGAAGGGGTGGATTATGGAATTCACTGCTGCTTCAATATATATCCTATCCTAGGTAATCGCGTTATTAATCAATATTTATCCTTCTAAATATTAAATGATTTGAATTACTTCTTTAAGCTTATGAGATTTACTAGTTATAGAATTACATGTCGGTTCCCTGAAACATTCTCTTTGTTTGTAAGAGAAGCACCTAACACCTGTTAAAACATATTTACTTTCTAGTTTACCCTGACAGCCTAGGTCATTGGGGTCACTCAGGCCTGTCTCCTACAGGTCGTTCTCAAAGAATTAGCATATTGTGATAAAGTTCATTATTTTCCATAATGTAATGATAAAAATTAAACTTTTCATATATTTTAGATTCATTGCACACCAACTGAAATATTTCAGGTCTTTTATTGTTATGCAAACCCAAAATTCCTGTCTCAAAAAATTTGCATATCATGAAAAGGGTCTCTAAACGAGCTATTAACCTAATCATATGAATCAACTAATTAACTCTAAACACCTGCAAAAGATTCCTGAGGCTTTTAAAAACTCCCAGCCTGTTTCATTACTCAAAACCGCAATCATGGGTAAGACTGCCGACCTGACTGCTGTCCAGAAGGCCATCATTGACACCCTCAAGCAAGAGGGTAAGACAGAAAGAAATTTCTGAACAAATAGGCTGTTCCCAGAGTGCTGTATCAAGGCACCTCAGTGGGAAGTCTGTGGGAAGGAAAAAGTGTGGCAAAAAACGCTGCACAACGAGAAGAGGTGACCGGACCCTGAGGAAGATTGTGGAGAAGGACCGATTCCAGACCTTGGGGGACCTGCGGAAGCAGTGGACTGAGTCTGGAGTAGAAACATCCAGAGCCACCATGCACAGGCGTGTGCAGGAAATGGGCTACAGGTGCCGCATTCCCCAGGTCAAGCCACTTTTGAACCAGAAACAGCGGCAGAAGCGCCTGACCTGGGCTACAGAGAAGCAGCACTGGACTGTTGCTCAGTTTTGCATGTCATTCGGAAATCAAGGTGCCAGAGTCTGGAGGAAGACTGGGGAGAAGGAAATGCCAAAATGCCTGAAGTCCAGTGTCAAGTACCCACAGTCAGTGATGGTCTGGGGTGCCATGTCAGCTGCTGGTGTTGGTGCACTGTGTTTTATCAAGGGCAGGGTCAATGCAGCTAGCTATCAGGAGATTTTGGAGCACTTCATGCTTCCATCTGCTGAAAAGCTTTATGGAGATGAAGATTTCATTTTTCAGCACGACCTGTTTACTGACCATGGTATTACTGTGCTCAATTGGCCTGCCAGCTCTCCTGACCTGAACCCCATAGAGAATCTGTGGGATATTGTGAAGAGAAAGTTGAGAGACGCAAGACCCAACACTCTGGATGAGCTTAAGGCCGCTATCGAAGCATCCTGGGCCTCCATAACACCTCAGCAGTGCCACAGGCTGATTGCCTCCATGACACGCCGCATTGAAGCAGTCATTTCTGCAAAAGGATTCCCGACCAAGTATTGACTATTGAGTGCGTAACTGAACATAATTATTTGAAGGTTGACTTTTTTTTTTTTGTATTAAAAACACTTCTTTTATTGGTCGGATGAAATATGCTAATTTTTTGAGACAGGAATTTTGGGTTTTCATGAGCTGTATGCCAAAATCATCAGTATTAAAACAATAAAAGACCTGACATATTTCAGTTGGTGTGCAATGAATCTAAAATATATGAAAGTTTAATTTTTATCATTACATTATGGAAAATAATGAACTTTAACACAATATGCTAATTTTTTTAGAAGGACCTGTACATGACCAATTCTTAGTTAAAGCATTTACTTTACTTTTCATCTTCAATCACTAGAGAATAGTGATGAACATGGGCTGAACCTCTTACTGAGAGAAAGTACATCTTATGTAGTCATAGTATGTTTTGGGAAAGTTTCCTGAACAGAGCTAGAGCTCGACCAACTCAGATCTTGAAGAAGCTGTCTTTGTGTGTTAGTACTCTTTGTTACAGGACCTGACATTCTACAGGTGAGCAACTGGCATGCAGAGGTGGTGAAATGACCATCTGACAGACAAACTGGAACTCAGGTCATTTTGTGCCAGGATCCTTGTTGTCATCTGGATGATCAATAGAGATATGCTTCTGACTATCTAGCTTTTATCCACTTAGTACAAGCCTGTTGTAGCGGACCAAATGATGGCCAAAACTTTACTAATGAGTTTTATGAAGTTTATTGTACTTCACACAAAAGATGAAGCGTCTGTTTCACTCCAGAAAATCACTGTAAGAGCTGAATAAAACACACTACAAGAAGTGCTCATTAAAGTCTTATCCATAAACTCTCTCTCTCTCCCTTGCATTATTATCAACACACATAGCAAATTACACAGAAACGCTCGTTACAGCTATCAGTAAACAAATACTACAGACCTTATGCCTTTTCAGGGGGTGCTTAATAAACTGGTAAACTTTATATCCATAAAACAACTCAGATGAACTGTAATAAAGTGCGTGCTGTCCCTTTCATTATTGCCGTGACCAGTATCGCTCCAGAGACGCTGGATTACAAACAGTTGGTACTGATCCATCTTTGAGTAACAACTTTTTAGCAAAACCTGTGTTTTGTATTGTCCCTTTGTATTGACCCTCGTTCACAAAGCAGTCTGGTGTAAAATGATTTGCGCAAATATAAACAAATTTAGGTATATGGGGGCGCATTAGCTTCAAAAATATCAAACTAATCCACTGTGTCCTCAGTGGCTCAGATGTTGGGAGAAAATGAAGACTCTTAAGGGGGTCGTACACTGGATGAGAAGCACAGCACAGCGTCGCACACAGCGTCGCTCTGCGCCACATCTGTAAAATTCGAACACATTATTTTCTATTAGTATACACACACCAGCAGCGCCATTCGGCGTCTGTCTGCGGCACCCAGCTACGGCACAGGACCCTGTTCAGAATCCTGCCGCGCCACAGAGCGCCATTTATATAGTTTTATATTCAATTTTCATTAGGCCATCCTTAAAAATATTTTGGTTTGCAGTAACAGCAAAAAAAAAAAAAAAAAGGGTCGGTAGGTAGGTCTATATATTTTTTTTTCAAGATTCAATGTAAAAAAAAAAGGATAATTTTGGTCATGGTGATTAGGTCGGTATGAATTTAAACAAATTTGCATATCGTGACGTCACTGACTGGGTCTTCAACCCCCATGCCTTCGGGCGCACCATTGCGAACCTCATTCTGATACAGGTTATAGACCACAAACAATTTGAAATCTTTGTAAAAAAAAAACAACATATTTATTGCATTAATTCCAGCTGCATTCATTTGGAAAAAAATAGGCAGAATCAAAAGAAAAAAAGGAGCCACTAGATTTCAATGAAAGTGGATTTTCAGAGGGAAACAAATAAATTAAAATGACTAATCTCACCAGCGCCGCGCCGACCAATAAAACAGCGCGTTTGGCACCATTCGTTTACATTTGACCCATACTGTTACAAGCCCCCTTTCTGGTCTAGGGGCAGGAAAGGAGGGTAACAAAAAGTTGCAGGGAGAGAGTGAGAGATTTGACCCATAAACATCTGCTATTATTAACGGAAATCAGTGTGGTCAAATAGCTAGGCGCATTGTAGGAAACTATAGGCCGATTAAGTAGTCCTGACATATTATGGAATGGTCGATTTTCTTTTGTGCAATTTAGTACATTTCGGTATGGGATGTGCTGTTTTATTGGTCAGCGCGGCGCTGGTGAGATTAATTCGCGCCGCTCTGACCATTGGCTGGCGCAAGCAAACACTTCTCCTGCGCTGTCGAGTCTGTCGCGCTCGCGCGTCTCGGTCCATTGAGCCACGCAGATTACAAGTCAGCGCAGCGCGAACTCTGTAACACACCGCGCCGTTTCGTCCCCCTTTCGGTGTGTTTGGCTTCCCACACTTATGTGTGTTTGTTTGTCAGAGCCTGCAGTTGCTGTGTGACGCGCGTTCGCGGTGGGCATGTCATGACGAGCTGGACGGGCTCCGAGAAAAGGCCGTTAACATCGATTCCCTATTTGACCATTAAGAATTTCGAATAATGAGCGACTAAATGTAGGCTCATACAGACGTCTTTCACAAGCAGCCGCGCTGCAGCCATCATCACCGAGCGCGAACCATTGACAGTGAATGAAACGAAGCGAACGCACAGGCCATAGTGTGACATACGTAAACCAATGGT